CACTAACACCTCATGTAGTCACCACTAACACCTCATTTAGTCACCACCTCATGTAGTCACCACTAACACCTCATTTAGTCACCACCTCATGTAGTCACCACTAACACCTCATGTAGTCACAGTGGCTACCTGGAGCCCACTGGCTGATTGTAGACACACGTGATGCTGACTGTGGACACATCTTGAACTAACACTTTCTATGGGTACCATCATTTTTCCAGGCCTATTCTATGAGTTTGTTTTTTTAAATAACTTGAAGCATGGTTAAAAACTAGGGATGCAACGATACCACTTTTTTCCAAACTGATACAATACCGATGCTTGGATCTGAGTACTCGCCGATACCGATAGTTCTACCACACAAAGAAATGCAATGCTTTGGAGTACAGATTTTATTTTCTTCTCTGCTTTCAACAGGAAAAGACTGTGAGCAGTAGCGGTTTTAGGCACGGGCAGACAGGGCAGTTGCCCGGGGCGGCATTTTTTCATGACACAAAAGGGGCGCACAAGCGCGGAGTAAAAAAAAAAAAGGAAATCTGCGCCGCACCGAGGTTTTCTATTATCTGTCATATGACAGTGTCTAGATTGGAAACAGCAAGTTGGCGCCCCCTGCAGCTGCAGGCGCTCCTGCTGACTGAGAACGTTCAGGTGCTCCGTGTGTCTATGAAGAACAGGAAGGGGAGGGGTGCGGCGGGGGAATTCACCTCTGCGTCTTTCCCAGATGAAATGAGCGTGCAGGGGCTGAATCAACTGTATTAACATGGCTAAAGTCAATCACATCTTAACGTTCTTCCATATTTCATTCATAATATCATAAACACAGGCCTATCATTCTTTCAGGTTTCTCTGAATTGTGTGAAATGGCCGAATAAAAAAAGGAAAAACAAAACGATTTTGTGGTCACCCCCCCATCAAGGTCAAATAGTTTAGTCCTGACTAAAGGAAACTTACTGAGTCAGGAGCCAAACAGAAGAGATGAACATAAAAAGGCTAAAACCACCAGGTGCCCCATTCAGGGGGAAAAAAAGAGAAAAAAAAGCAGAAAGATAAAGGTATGTAGCTCTCATGATGCATGTTTTCAATTTTTTTACCAGTTAACTGGGATTTTAACGGTTAAATGCGGTCAGCTAGTTGCTAACAGAGCTAATAGGGCTGAAATATTTAAACGAATATTCAAATGGTTTGAAAAAAGTCCTTGAATCGTTTTTTACTGATTCAAACTAGGATTTGTTAAATGCTCGCTGCAGCCTGTGGCCTGCCTGAACAACAACAAACATGTTGATCATGTTCACATAATAATAAATAAAACAACTCTACAAGCAGAAGAAAACTCCCCAGTCACCACTAACTATCCTGTTTATTTATTGCAGATGGCTGCACTGGTTATTTTTTACATGATTTGTTCTGTAAAAGTTGGCATTTTTGGTAGTCTACAGTTTTTTATGTCAGTTTAAATTACAATTTCAGAGGCAATTCTAAAATATTATGGATCATGAGATCTATTGGAGATCTACCCCAACTTTTGGACTGCTCTGCCAGTCCCTGTGGCTCAAGCTGAGAGGAGCTTTTCAAAACTTGATCAAGTCATACCTGAGGTCATCTATGTTTCAGGGGCGGCTCACTCACCTGGCTCTGATTAGTATCAATCACTCAGTAGGGGAGCAGATTTCATGTGATGACATTATTGATGATGTTGCATCAAGGTTAGGTTTTAATTTTAGTTTGTGTTTTCTGTTCTAAGTGCAATGCTGTAGTGATTATCTTTAGTTTGTTATGTGTGAAATATTTTTGCTATTTAGAATATTTATTATCTATTATGTTCATATATTCTTAACATTTAGTTATTGTTTGTTTTTGTATATTTGATTCTATATATTTTGATACAGTGTATAATGTATAGTGCTTTACATTCTGACAACTTCATAGTAATTAATGTAAATATGTGCAACTTAGAAAAATGAATGTTCAATAGTCGTTCTAATAAAACATGCCTGTTTGTAGAAAACATGCGTGTGTTCATGCAGGTGGGGTGGTGTGGTGGTGGTGGTGGTGGTGGTGGGGGGGGGGGGGTTGGGGGGGGGGGGGCGCTCAAAGGGGGCCTCGCCCGGGGAGTAATTCGATGTAGAACCGCCACTGACTGTGAGGTAGATAAAAAGTAAAATATATGAATGGAAATCATCACAAAACTAAAATATTAGGTGAACAGAAATGACAAGTTACTGTGAAGCCATTTTCAAGCAACTGCATTGGTATTGGTTCCTGGTAACGGTTAACTTTTACCAATACTTGCCTTGATACTGGTATCGGTATCGGTGCATCCCTATTAAAAACCAACATCTGACTTTCGTTGGTTAAATTTCATAGAATTTTCATTTCTTATTACTTTTGTCAGATTCAAGTTATTTCTGTGACCATTGTGACGACGTCTGTATGTCATGCACAAGTGCCTGGATTTCAGTCTCAGTTGCCATAGTTACAAATGAAATTCCACCAATTAGCTGGCTTAACAAATCCTTTTTTTCTTCTTTTCTTGCACAATTTAGTAAAAACTTGTTTTTACCTGACAAGTTTCAGCTAGTACCTCTACCATCATCATCATCTCCGGTGATGGTGGCGCCACTTCCTTTTAAACGCGGTCACAGAGGATGCTGCGTATGTTGAGTTGCTGTTGTATTTTTTCTGTTATGACTTTGATAAATGGGTTAGGGTTACCGGTTTTGGGTCTTTCTTTTCTATTGTTGCTAGTTCTCCTTTTCTTATCGCCCATGCCGGGTTTCTGCAGGTTTTTATTGCGCTAGCGGAAACATGTCAGGTAAAAAACTAAAACTGTGTAGTAAAAGAACAAAAAATGGATAACAAAGATAAACACAGAATTAACATACAAAAGAGTATTTATAACATAGTTGTAGTGTTGGGAATGTTCAAAGTTATTTTTCCACTGTAATCTCAGAGGTCACTAGACCACAGACTGCTTCATCGGTGCACCAAGGGTTAACTGTGTGCTTTCCACCGCAAGACACGGGCTCTATGACTCTCTTTTCTGCCACTATTTACAAAAAGCTGCAACTCCAAGGTCCACGCAGAAGACGAGACCCTTACTCCATTTAATAAAATGATAGTTTGGTCTCATGAAATAATTTCTTTCAGTCTAGAGGTTTAAGATCATGTTCTGTGTTAAAAAATTAACGTGTAACAGATTTACTCCACATTAAGTGGAACCAGGCTCTTCTGAGTGTCTGAGGGCCATGGTGAACACCTAGACACGTTTATCACATCTGGTTGGTCAAAGATTAAAAAACAACCATTTAATTAAAAGTGAATCACTTCCTACGTTCCCCAGTTCAGCCAGAGCTCCGAGTTCATCCAAAACTCACAGCTCATGCTAAATGACCATCCTATGGGGATTAAACCAGATTATTTAGTGGAATAAATTTAGCATCATATGAACCATCCTTTTTTAGATCAGTCTATTGACTCAATCCATCATCCACTCATCAGACATGAAAGTGTCCACCAGAGCCACCTGGGAAGTATCTTCTGACCAGCTGTGTTTGCTGAGGGTGTCTACGATCTTCAGTGGTGTCAGAGTGGTTGATATTAGTCTGTTAACTTGTTAAATTACATCAAACATCCAGATTTATTTTATAAAACAGACATCACCCTTTCTGAGTCACTTAGAAAACACACCAGGTCATGTTTCATCAGAGTTCACTCATCGTCTCATTTAACATCACTGTGTCACCATTTATACTCATCATCGTTAATATAGTAATAAATAAATTTTTATAAACTATATTTTTGTCTCTGTGTTAAATAATTATAAAGTGTTGTTTCCCTAGATTAACCAGAGAACCTAGTTTCATCATCGAATATTAAAGGTTCAATAATACTGATAATCCATGTTTTTATGGAGTATTACATTTTATTGAATAACTTCATATTCTATTGATACTTTATTAAAAGTACCCACCTACAGATCAATACATAGATATTATTGTCTGTTTATGACCGAAAGTGGGTGTGTAGGAGGGATGTGATCCAGAAACACCTGAGCTCGTGGAGGACAGGTGTAGTTAATAAAGCAGGAAGTGATTTTATAGGTGGGATTGTTGGTTTGTGCTGAACTTAAGAAGAGCTTCAGTCCATGTTTTATAAATGAGGCCCCTGATCTGTACTGGTTTCTATACTGGTCTAAACAGACGGTGGTTCTGGAGCTAGCTCAGGTCTTGTCTCACCTGTCCTTGGCTCAATAGAGAAGTATGGCTGACCCTGCAGGAGGCTGTAAACCATTCTGGCAGAGTTCCCATAAGTGGGATCATCAGCATCTGTTGCCTCCACTGTAACGACTGAGGTACCTGGAGACAAACACAGGACAAACACCTGTCGTTAGCTGAAGAGGACAGGGGAAATGAAATGGTCCAACAGAGCTGACAGGGACTGACACCTGAGGGAAACCTCGATCATTTAGACATAAAACACATGGATTTCATTTATTCATACAAATCAGTGTGGCCAAAGAGGGTTGTGACTTACTAACTTCATGTTGGTGATCCTCAGCCCAACTAAGCTCAACCTTTGTTTATAAAGCACCTGACAGGTACGACATGTGTCACCAAGGTGCTGTACGGCAATAAGAATTAATTCTGGATCTGGAGGGCCGGTATCCAGCACGTTTTAGCTTTTACCTGCTTTTATGCACTTGATTTCAATCAGCAGGTGACTAACCCTAACCAAGAAATGGATCCGTCAGTGAAAGCTCAAATGGAGGTTGAGTGGATGAGACTTAGGACTGCTTCTGGACTCTGGGTTTGGATCATGTTAGGTGTAGGTGTGGTCCTGTGGGTCAGAGGCTCAACTCTTTATTTTATTTTTGTTCTCAGCTACACTAACAGCAGCAACTCATCCAGACCCACCTACAGGAGACCTCTCAGCTACGTGGGCGGTGTACGGGCCATTCAGGAATCTGGGTGCGTTGTCGTTGATGTCCTGGACTTTGATGATGAACTGGGACTCCGGTTCCACAGGCAGGTTGGTGTTCCAGTCTCGAGCTTGAGCTTTCAGAGTGTAGAAGGTCTGCTGCTCGCGGTCTAGCCGCCTGATGGCATGGATGTCCCCCGTCTGCTCATTGATGCTGAAGATGGATGTCGCTCCTTCACCACTCAGGTAATACTTGACTTGACCGTCACCTTTATCCATGTCTGAGTGGAGCTGCAGGACCAGAACAGAAATCAGTCACTCTGATTGCTTATTTAACATCTCAGATTATCTAGACTCTCGTAAAGGTCACAGATCTGTCGACAAGGTGCGTTAATCCAAGAGATTTGCTGAGTACAGAGGAACCAAAGGCACAACACAAATAAAAATAAACGGTGGAAAAATAGTAAATGGCCTGAATTTGTGCTCCATATGTGCTCTTGGCATCAGGATACCTTAGGCCGCAGCTCGATGATCGACTGTTGTTGTTTTGTCTGACCTGCGGCCGCATGTCTTGGTCACTCGGGTGAAGAGAGGGGAGGAGCTGTCAACTGGCCACTACCTGGTGGTGAGTTGGCTCAGATGGCGGGGGAGGATGCCGGTCAGACCAGGCAGGCCCAAACGTATCGCAAGGGTCTGCTGGAAACGTCTGGCAGAGTCTCCTGTCAGAAGGAGCTTCAATTCCCACCTATGACAGAACTTCCAAAATGTTCCGGGGGAGGCGGGGGACATTGAGTCTGAATGGACCCTGTTCCGTGCCTCCATTGTTGAGGCGGCCGACCGGAGCTGTGGTCGCATGATCGCCGGTGCCTGGCGTGATGGCAACCCCCGAACCCGCTGGTGGACACCGGTGGTTAGGGATGCTGTCAAGCTGAAGAAAGCGTCCTATCAGGTCTTTTTTGCCTGTGGGACTCCAGAGGCAGCTGACGGGTACCGGCAGTCCAAGCGGAACGCGGCTCGGATGGTCACTAGGGCAAACACCCGGACATGGGAGGAGTTCGGTGATACCATGGAGCAAGAATTCTGTACGGCTTTGAGGAGATTCTGGTCCACCATCCGGTGCCTCAGGGGGGAAAGCAGTGTGCTACCAACACTATAGTGGGAACGGTATGCTGCTGACCTCTACTCAGGACATTGTGGATCGGTGGACAGAATACTTCGAAGACCTCCTCAATCCCACCGACAAGCCTTCCAGTGAGGAAGCAGAGCCTGGGGACTTTGGGTTGGCCTCTCAAATCTCTGGTGCTGAGGTCACTGAGGTGGTGAAAAAGCTCCTCTGTGGCAAGGCTCCAGGGGTGGATGAGATCTGCCCGGAGTTCCTTAAGGCTCTGGATGTTGTGGGGCCGTGTTGGCTGACGTGGCTCTGCAATATCGCGTGGACATCGGGGGCAGTCCCACTGGACTGGCAGACTGGGGGGGTGGTCCCCTTGCTTAAAAAGGGGGGCCGCAGGGTGTGTTCCAACTACAGGGGGATCACACTCCTGAGCCTTCCTGGTAAGGTCTATTCAGGAGTTCTGGAGAGGAGGGTCCGTCGGATTGTTGAACCTCAGATTCAGGAGGAGCAATGTGGTTTTCGTCCTGGCCGTGGAACACTGGACAAGCTCTATACCCTTAGGGGGATCCTGAAGGGTGCGTGGGAATTTGCCCAACCAGTCTACGTGTGTTTTGTGGATTTGGAGAAGGCGTTTGACCGCGTCCCTCAGTGGGCCCTGTGGGGGGTACTCCGGGAGTATGGGGTACCAGGCCCTCTGATTCGAGCAGTTAGGTTCCTGTATGACCGGTGTCAGAGCTTGGTCCGCATTGCCGGCAGTAAGTCGGGCTCATTCCCAGTGAGAGTTGGACTCCGCCAAGGCTGCCCTTTGTCACCGATTCTGTTCATAACCTTTATGGACAGGATTTCTAGGCGCAGCCAAGGTGTGGAGGGCATCCGTTTTGGTGGCCTGAGGATCAAGTCTCTGCTTTTTGCAGATGATGTGGTCCTGTTGGCTTCATCAGAACGTGATCTTCAGCTTTCGCTGGAGCAATTCGCAGCAGAGTGTGAAGCAGCTGGGATGAGAATCAGCTCCTCTAAATGTGAGACCATGGTCTTGATTCGGAAAAGGGTAGAGTGCCTTCTCCAGGTCAGGGATGATGTCCTGCCCCCAAGTAGAGGAGTTTAAGTATCTCTGGGTCTTGTTCATGAGTGAGGGAAAACTGGAGCGTGAGATCGATAGGCGGATTGATGCTGCATCTGCAGAGATGCGAGCGTTGTACCGGTCTGTCGTGGTGACCATGGTTCTTGAGCGGAAAAGGGTGGCTTGCCAACTCCGGGTCGGGAGAGAGGTCCTACCTCAAGTGGAAGAGTTTAAGTATCTCGGGGTCTTGTTCACGAGTGAGGGTAGGAAGGATTGGGAGATCGACAGGCGGATTGGTTCAGCGTCTGCAGTGATGCAGACGCTGAGCCGATCTGTCGTGGTGAAGAGGGAGCTGAGTCAGAAAGCCAGGCTCTCGATTTACCAGTCGATCTACGTTCGTACCCTCACCTATGGTCATGAACTTTGGATAGTGACCGAAAGAACGAGATCGTGGATAAAAGCGGCCGAAATGAGTTTTCCCCAAAGAGTGGCTGGGCTCTCCCTTAGAGATAAGGTGAAAAGCTTGGTCATTCGGGAGGGGCTCGGAGTAGACCCGCTGCTCCTCCACATCGAGATGAGCCAGTTGAGGTGGCTCGGTCATCTGGTCAGGATGCCTCCCTGGTGAGGTTTTCTGGGCACGTCCAACCGGGAGGAGACCTAAAGGTAGACCCAGGACATGGTGGAGGGACTATGTCTCTCACCTGGCCAGGGAACGCCTTGGGATTCCCCCGGAGGAGCTGGCCCAAGTGGCTGGGGAGAGGGAAGTCTGGGCCTCTTGCCTTAGGCTACTGCCCCCGTGACCCGACTCCGAATAAGCAGATGATAATGGATGACAATGGATGAATGGATGGATGGACTGATGGATGGATGGATGGATGGCCTGAATTTTATATAGCACCATCTAGAGTTCTACAACCCCCCAAGGCACTTTACAACACATTGAGTAATTTACCCACACACACACACTGGTGGTGATGAGCTACATGGAGGCCACGCTGAGGCAAGGCTGCCATGCACCAGCCTCTAACCCTAACCCCACTCGTGCATGCAGCAGCCAGCATTCTGGATTGGACAGCAAGTGTCCAAGAATGTCCTCCCCCTCCTGGTACACGTCATGCTCACGCGCAGATGTGGATGTGTTTGGGAAACAGGAGTTTAGACATACTCTTCACCTCTTGGAGCAACTTTAAACAGGGTTTAGTGTCCACACCGGGGTCTGTTAAAGGGCTGAGACAAATTAGATTGTACTTGTCACACCGTCCCACTGAGACAGACTCTTTTACTTGTTCGACATGGATTTCAAGGTCATCATAAGTTTATTTTTTGTTACCTTTCCAACATACAGAGGTTCATCTCCTGTGAACTCCTCCAGAACAAAGAACTGGTTCCATACCCAGCTCCTCCCCTTTCTCCTCAGGTGAACCTCAACTCCTCCCTTTCGTCCTGATTCTTCACTTGACCCTTGGCGGAGGATCACCGAGTTTATCAATGTTGCCCCACAGTTTGGTTCCTCCCATAAAAAAAAGACAAAGACACTGAGCATGCCCAGGACACAGAGATACTTCATGTCCAGGACAGAAATCAATTTCTCTCTGGGATTAATAAAGTATTTTTGAATTTGAATTTGAAGATGTGTCAAAAAAAAAAATCAACAAATAACCATCTCACCATCCAGCAAAAACGTCTGATCCAACTGAATGGTCTCCAACCTCCCCAGAAAAAAGATTAACCCCATGGTTATGTCCAAAAGGGAAATGTCCGTGATGTCCATTCAGGTCAAACAGAAGTAAAATAACTGCCTCAGAATTCAGACAACATCTGAACCAGTGAAGACCAGATCCACCTGGTCCAGGTTCTTCTGAAGGTTGATGGCATCTAAAAGAATTAACCTCAATAATCCGAGGGGAACGTTGGTTCCTTGTGTCCAGCAGGATCCTGATGTTGGTGTGTCGGTGTGAAGCCAGCTGTTAGGTGTTGTCCCATTTTCAGGATGTTCACAGCTGGAATGATGTTAATCTGGTGATAAAGCAGGAACTAATCCTGTTAATCTGCTCCAGTAATCAGGAGGGATGTGTGACTCACACATATTCTCGTTATGCGTTTGTTGTGAGGACCGTCATTCACTTACATTCATTTTGGTGACTGGATTGTGCCTAACTCTGACCAGTTTGCTCCTAACCTTAAATAAAACTTCATTCCCACCACACCTCTAAAACTAACCAGTAGAGCTCTGGAACATCGTACCAAAGTGAGGACCATCAACTTATAAAAATATGGACATAGCCTGCCCATTGCCCTGCGGGTGGAAAGTCGAAGCCAAAATGGGAGGTTCCCACCTGCTGATGTCGTTAGGTCCATTATACAAAATATTGCTAAGCCCTCCTGTTGTTCTGGCTGCATTTTTTTCCAGTTACTTTTTTTTTATTATCAAAATTGTGCAGATATTAATTCAATTCAATTCAATTCAAGTTTATTTATATAGCGCCAAATCACGACAAGAGTCGTCTCAAGGCACTTCACATAATAAACATTCCAATTCACAGTTCAGTAAGCCAATCAGAAATAATGTGTCCTATATAAGGAACCCAGCAAATTGCATCAAGTCACTGACTAGTGTCAGTGACTATACAGCAGTCCTCATACTAAGCAAGCATGCAGCAACAGTGGAGAGGAAAACTCCCTTTTAACAGGAAGAAACCTCCAGAGAATCCTGGCTCAGTATAAGCAGCCATCCTCCACAACTCACTGGGGATCGAGAAGACAGAGCAGACACACACACACACACACACACACACACACACACACACACACACACACACACACACACACACACACAAGTAATGTGTCTATAGTTATATTGTGATGTCTTAGTAAATATTGTATTTGGTGAAAGATAAACTTTATTGTATTTATCCTAGTGGATCTATAATTAAACGGATAAACTAGTATTAGCACATCAAAAGTCAATGAAAACAAAAAGTTATTATCAGGAGAGAGAGAATGTATTAGTGGTTAACAGCAGTGTGCTCATGGACGTAATTTTTGGGGGGGACAGGGGGGACATGTCCCCCCCACTTTTTCCAAAGTCAAGTTTTGACCCCTGCAATTTTTACCATCCAAAAACAATATTACGCTATATTAAATTGACACTGGTTGAGCTCTAGGACCAAGCGGAAAACAACTGTTTGTGTTGAAGCCGGTTTCCCATTAGAGCATACTGTCAAGATCCCCCCCCCCCGTGTCCCCCCCACTTCTAAAGTGAAAATTACGTCCTTGAGTGTGCTAGTCGATGGCCCCCTCCATGAGGCCACCACAGCTCAGCAGAACGTCATTGTAGCTTCTTCTGGGGAGAAAAACACTTACAGAGAAAATAACACAATGACGACACCTGTGTGGCAGTAGCAGTCGGGAGAAATGGGAGATTTCCCGCTGGCCTGGCCGTTAAACTGGCCCACTCAGTGGTTGCCGACATTCATGACTTGCATGATATCTAAATGAGCAATCCGTCAAGCAGCTCATCAGAGCATCTGCTCACCTGACGCTCACACAAATGGAGAAAATTGGGCACAAAAACACCCCCTCCTCTCACTTTCTCGGGTCTGCCATCCATATTTGGCACGCACTCCATTAAGTGCATAGGGTGCATCACTGCCGTGAGGCGCTCCCCAATTCACCAATGGCTCAGACAGAGGAGAGAAAAATGGGAAGAGTTTTCCGACACCATGCACATTTCCGCAATGACTGACTGAACAAAATGCTCCGACATGCAGATCCATGGAGGAGGAGAGACAAACGCAAGTACAGGTGCTGGCCAGTAAATTAGAATATCATCAAAAGGTTGAAAATATTTCAGTAATTCCATTCAAAACGTGAAACTTGTACATTATATTCATGCAATGCACACAGACCAATGTATTTCCAATGTTCATTACGTTTAATTTTGATATTTATAGGTGACAACCAATGAAAACATCAAATCTGGTATCTCAGAAAATTAGAATATTCTAAAGGCCAATGAAAAAATGTTTGTTTCTCTAATGTTGGCCAACTGAAAAGAATGAACATGAAAAGAATGTGCATGTATAGCACTCAATACTTAGTCGGGGCTCCTTTTGCCTCAATAACTGCAGTAATGCGGCGTGGCATGGACTCGATCAGTCTGTGGCACTGCTCAGGTGTTATGAGAGCCCAGGTTGCTCTGATAGTCGTCTTCAGCTCCTCTGCATTGTTGGGTCTAGCGTATTGCATCCTCCGCTTCACAATACCCCATAGATTTTCTATGGGGTTAAGGTCAGGCGAGTTTGCTGGCCAATCAAGGACAGGGATACCATGGTCCTTGAACCAGGTGCTGGTGGTTTTGGCACTGTGTGCAGGTGCCAAGTCCTGTTGAAAGGTGAAGTCTGCATCCCCATAAAGTTGGTCAGCAGCAGGAAGCATGAAGTGCTCTAAAACTTCCTGGTAGACGGCTGCATTGACCCTGGACCTCAGGAAACAGAGTGGGCCAACACCGGCAGATGACATGGCACCCCACACCATCACTGACGGTGGAAACTTTACACTGGACCTCATGCAACGTGGATTCTGTGCTTCTCCGCTCTTCCTCCAGACTCTGGGTCCTTGATTTCCAAAGGAAATGCAGAACTTGCTTTCATCAGAAAACATAACTTTGGACCACTCAGCATCAGTCCAGTCCTTTTTGTCCTTGGCCCAGGCGAGACGCTTCTTGCGCTGTTTCTTGTTCAAGAGTGGCTTGACACACGGAATGCGACACCTGAATCCCATGTCTTTCATGAGTCTCCTCGTGGTGGTTCTTGAAGCGCTGACTCCAGCTGCAGTCCACTCTTTGTGGATCTCCCCCACATTTTTGAATGGGTTTGTCGTCACAATTCTCTGCAGGGTGCGGTTATCCCTAGAGCTTGTACACTTTTTTCTACCACATTTTTTCCGTCCCTTCGCCTGTCTGTTAATGTGCTTGGACACAGAGCTCTGCGAACAGCCAGCTTCTTTAGCAATCACCTTTTGTGTCTTGCCCTCCTTGTGCAAGGTGTCAATGATTGTCTTTTGGACAGCTGTTAAGTCAGAAGTCTTCCCCATGATTGTGGTGCCTTCAAAACAAGACTGAGGGACCTTTTAAAGGCCTTTGCAGGTGTTTTGAGTAAATCAGCTGATTAGAGTGGCAGCAGGTGTCTTCTATATTCAGCCTTTTCAGAATATTCTAATTTTTTGAGATACCAAATTTGGAGTTTTCATTAGTTGTCACTTATGAATATCAAATTTAAATGTAATGAACATTGGAAATACATTGGTCTGTGTGCATTGCATGAATATAATGTACAAGTTTCACGTTTTGAATGGAATTACTGAAATATTTTCAACCTTTTGATGATATTCTAATTTACTGGCCAGCACCTGTATGTGTTGAGGGTCTGACCTCATGAGGAAATTACTATGCAGTGATTTTCTCCAAAATGACTGTGCTTAAATTGCTCTGAAAAGCAAATAATCACATAAGCGCCAAGAAACTTCATTTCCCATGATGCTTTGCACACGGAAGCATTGTGATGACGTCACCGCCTAATACCAGAAACACATTCTGTGCATGTGCGGGAGTCACGGAGCTTTCCCGCGAACTCAGACTATAAATCATCAGGAAAGACAAAGGAACCTCGTTCTTTTGCCCAGGATACCTGGCGGTAAGGACACGCTTGTCGAACGCTCCGACTCCCTTGAGCATGCGGAAGCTCTAAGTGCCCAAGTTGAGCCACGCAACCGCTGGAAAGCCACTCCAACTCTATCAGGACCTGACTGGGAACGAGCGGAGCTCCATCCAGCTCTCAGAGACGCTGTAAGTTGTCAAACTCAGCACAAAAGAAACTTCGTTCTCTTTGTGTCCAGCCCGTTGGAGAAACACTCGTGGGGAGAAACAACGGAGAAAACCATCAAACCGACGGACGACGCCAAACTGCGGAGAAACACGGAGAACCGTCAAATCAAACAGTGAGGAGGGACGCTTCACTGTTCTGGTGATCAGAAACTCATCTCCTTCTCTCTCTTTCCTTCTTCCGTTTCCTCTATAGTCCAGAATAAGCAATAAAACCGCGCTATTGCTTAAAAAGTAGCTTCGTGTTTTCCTCTTTCGCTCCCAATATGTCCGTCGGGTCATTTTGAAAGAATAAACTGCTTATTGATCATTGTTTGGTATCTTTAAATGTTTTCTGCTTGGCCACGTGGTTAAACTAAAAGATATTATTCGTGATTAATCTTTTGTGTTGTTTCATGATCCTTTGAAATGTTTTAAGTGAATTTAAGGTTAAGTTACTTATGATTCTAAGTGCCTTGGAAGTTAAAGTGCAAGTTGCCACTCACACTTTAGCCAGACAAAGGGGTCAGCCATCTTGTATACAGGCTCCATTTTAGAAACACACACACACATACATACACACAAAACACCTTGAACATTATTTTGAATATACATCCTTTTATTATATCACATAGTTATTATTCATTTATGCCACTGTTTATTCATTTGACAAATTGTTAATTAAACGTTATAAAATTCAGATTTTCGTCTCCAGTAGCTTTGTTGTGTCGAAGAGAAGTCTCTGCTCCAAGGATTCTACGAACTTCAAGAAAGACTGATAAGAGTTTTGGATTCAATTTTTCCCCGGTAGAACGGGGTGGTGCCCCATAAGATACGTAAGAGTATCTTAATTAATTAATACATCGGTAAATATTCCCATATTTACAGAATTTATTGAAGAATCCAAAAGTAAGTTAAAGCTTACGAATTGTTCGCTCCTAATAACCCCAACATATGGATTGTGAGAAAACACAAGAGATAAAATGTCAAAAGAGGAGTGTGCTTCACTTGAAAGTGGGTATGATGTTGGACAACAACTTTGTGAGCATAAACAAACTACTGAGAGACAGCGAGAGATTAGATCCATCCATCCATCCATCTATTCTCTTCCGCTTATCCAGAGTCAGGCAGAGCTTGGACAGAGTACCTGCGATCTCGTTCTTTCGGTCACTACCCAAAGCTCATGACCATAGGTGAGGGTAGGAATGTAGATCGACTGGTAAATCGAGAGCTTTGCCTTCTGGCTCAGCTCTCTCTTCACCACAACAGACCGGTACAACGCCCGCATCATTGCAGACGCTGAACCAATCTGCCTGTCGATCTCCCAATCCTTCCTACCCTCACTCGTAGAGCCCTGCACGGGCCTAAAATCTGAGCCCGTGTCCGGCCCGGCCCGAGGGGGTGGAGCCCCAGCCCGACCCGAAAAGGTTTTCAGGATTCTCTGGCCCGGCCCGAGCCCAAGCCCGACTTTTTTTAACCAACTAAATGAAAACAAAGTGCGTCAATCCTGACCAATGTGTTAAAAGATGTGCAGGATCCGAGCGTCGCAGAAGCGCATGCGGGAAGCTTCCCACTGAAGCGAGTGTTTTCCAAACCCGGTCTCTCAGAGAGACTTGTCACTTAGAAAATGTTCCCTGATTATGAAACTTTGGCTGAATAGTGCTTGTTCCTGTCTCCAATGTGCGACACATCCAGGAGCCGTCTGAGGAGAATCCCAGAATCTCACATCCTCTTCAGCTCATGAGCGCATATGATTACGCACAAGCGTGACCCAACACGGTCTCACAGTAAGACTGGGTTGGAACTGTTCAGGTTTACGCAGACAATCTTCACATAGAATTGACTTACAGATATAAAATTAATTCAGTAAAATATAAAGCATTTTATTTAAATACCCATTCATTATTTTACAAGCACATCGGCAGATGGATGGAAGAGCCGCGGGTTGCCGATCCCTGCTCTAGTTCAAGATATCATTAAAATTCCAAAAGTGCTGAAAAGATTAAAAATGGGGCTTTTCGTGCATATACAATACATTACAGTATCCACCGG